ATATATATATATATATATCAATGAATGCAGAAAGTAATTTTGATAAAATAGAATACATATTCATAATGTTTAAACTAAAAAAATAATAAATAAAGGATGGTGCCCTTTGCTTGCTAAAGTTGCATCCTTACATCATTACATTGGACCCACAATCTATGTACAAGCACCTTCCTGTAAATGTAATACTTTAATTATTATATTCATATATTCGTATAAATTAATACTATAAGGACAAGTTAATTTTTGAGTGCTGCCCCGCCCCGGAGACATATGGCATGATTTCATGTACAATATTTTACACAGGCTGCGTTGACAAGGTGCAGTCCTTTTCCCTTTCATGCCTGTTGTTTGGACAGATGTAAGTTTCTTAAATGCCACCTGTCCCCCTGATGCTTGTTGGTATGTGTCTCAAGACACCTGAATGGTGCCGGGAATGAAAATAAACAGAACTCAAAAAAATTAATATTAGAAGGAGTTTTTCCAATGAAATAACTTGTTAAATGGAAAGTTTAGATGTTTGTGTATTTGACTTGTTTAAAGTGTAACTATCTAAATTTATCTTTTATATTTTGAAGTGTCAGCAAGCTAACTTTAGTCTACAGGCAATGGGGACTCCATGCAAGTTTTCAAAAAAACTTTTTTTTCTCTTTAAGCTTTCTTGAGCTTTATAGAAAACTAAAAAGCAAAGCGCTAAAAGTAAAAAAACACAAAAGGCATCCAGAATCATTTTGATGCTTTGGTAGAATTTGACATGCTTTTCCACATCCTATGCATGGATATGGACAACTGAGCATACGATTTTGGGTGGTTGAGATCACACAGTATAGATTCGTGTACCTATACTTGTCCACCAGGTTGCGGAGGAGAGGAACTGGAACAAATGAATGGTGCTAGACCAGAATGTTCCTATTCAGAAGACACTTTCGGATATAATCTCTGCTACGCATGTATAGTTTATTCGAAATGTTTGTGTATATCATGGACAAACACGTCCTTATTTAAAGTATGTAGTCTTTCTAGATGTTTAAAAGTGCACAAAGTATGGAAGCAGCACACCAACATGTGTGATCATGAAGGGCCAAAGGGACCAGGCTTTAAACACCAAAGGTGGGGAGGGGGAATCATATCCTCGTCAATGAGGGTGGAGACCCAATGCCCATCTCTAGACAACTGGACATACCTTGCAGAGGGGTAGTGGGGAGATGAGTCA